GGCGTCACATAGAACCCGTAATCCGTAATCCGCACCGGAAGTCCGCAAAAGTTACTAGGGATTGCGTCCGTAACGTTACGTATGTTTTTTCTTCCTTGTGTCCCATGGAGCCGTAAATACACACGTAACGGTATTACTATTTTTATTTTAACAAATTATAATTGTTTATTTGTATTTTATTCATAAGAAAACTACAGAATATATTATAATTTTAACAAAAATTTTAATTAAATCGTCAAATTTAGTTAAATAAATAAAATTAAAAAAGACATTACTAGTAATAACTAGTAACTTTTAGTAACTTTTACGGAAATTTCATGGAATTACGGCTCCATGGGACACAAGGAGATAAAACACACGTAACGTTACGGACGCAATCCCTAGTAACTTTTGCGGACTTTCGGTGCGGATTACGGATTACGGGTTCTATGTGACGCCGGCCTAAGACCAAACGCTCCCTCCTGTTTCTTTTTACTTTGAGGTTCTGGCTAGTATATGCTCCCTCCTGTTTCTTTTTACTCAATGGTCTAAAGTCCTAGTTTAGGCGAGAGGGGATGGTAATTCAAGCGTGCGGGGGGGACTGCTTTCCGCCATATTGATGTAGCGATTCTCACACAGAGATTCTGTGTCTGTGACATGGTTACACTCGTGTAGTGGTGCCACTAGACATAACGAGTGACAAGCGTAAAGAGGTTAGGAGGTTTTATTATTGTTGTACTATAAATTTTATAAAAAATGGTTAGATGTATAGTACCAGGCTGCTCCATGACAAATGAAAAAAATGAAAGGAAAAGCGAACTTCAAAAAACATTAGAGCAAAATTTAAAAATTAGTTTACATAGGTAAGAAGTTTATCTTATTATTTAGATTAGGTTCCAAAACGTTCTTTTGAAGGAAAATTTTAGAAATATATACTACACGTAATGTATACTATATTATATCGAGTAAAATTTTTCTTGGAGAAGACATTTTGAAACATTATCTTACTATATAATTTTATTCTTACTATATTAAAAAATGCTGTTTTTATTACAGATTACCAAAAGATATAAAAAAAAGAAATTTGTGGCTAAAAAATATTGGATTGGATGAAAATATAAATCTAAAAAAATCTGCATCAGTTTGTTCATTACATTTCAAAGCAGAAGATATAAATAGAACTTTGGATAAAATATTTTTACGT